AAAGAAAAACGAGCAGCGTTCACCCCCTCAGCTCGCAGCCAGCAGAAGCGGCCACGTGATCTGGAACCGATTATATGCTGCCAATGTAATCATAGCCACACGCTGGGGTTGGCAAGGCACAGGACACGCGCTGAGTTCCACACATTCTAATGGTTAAGCTATTGTCGTCATTACAGTGATTTAACACGGGCCACAACTCGATTGCTCCTCGAGCTATCAATTATCAGGAGCCCAAGTCGAGTGCCAACGCAATGCCCGGGTCCAATCTCTGAGCCGCATTCAAACATCGCCACTGCGCGGTACTGCGACCGCCCAGCTACGTCATCAAGTTTTGCGAAGGAGAGATTAAATCAAAGCACTCGCTTTTGCCTTAAACATGAAATAAAACAGTGAAAAAAGGTGCAAAAGGAAGCGACAAACCGGACAGGACAGTGCGCTGAATCGCAACTACGTATTTTTACTGATAGACAAGGAGAACTATCAGGAAAACGGCATAGTTGCGAGTCAGCGCTCTGTCGTGTTCGGTTCGTCGCTTCCTTTTGTAGCTTTTTGCGCTGTTTTATCTCATTATGTTTAACGACTACCGACTAGCCCAGACTTAACCTTATTATTCGCCCTTGAAATTGCGCCGCAACAAAAACGTTTCTTGGCCAGTGGCGTTTAGTGCGAGCATCCTTGAGTCCCTCTAGTGCCAGTAGGCTTGTATAAAGTTAAAAACATTCCAATCGAATATTGTTGCACCGCCCCTTTAAGATCCACCTCACTTTTATTTGTAATGCACCTTTGGTTTAGTAATAAATGTGGGCAATAAGAACAAACATTGACGTAAAACAATATAAAAACACGGTTGCATAACGACGGCGCTCTAGCTGCCTACAGATTTCGTCTGCGTGTCGTCTGCTTTCTTCCGCTGGTCGGCTACGCCTTCAGACGCTGCTCCCTACGCCATTTATTGATAGGGGCCCCAAACGCGCCCACCACCCGACTTGGTCGTCTACGTTGCCATCCGCCAGTGACCCAGGGAAGTTTTCTGGCATCCTTTTTTTGCAGAAAGGGATCTACACTTTGTTTACAAGATAAAACCGAACTATGAAAGACATTTTTTCTGAAACCTTTAGACCGCCACGTGCAGGCGGCGATTTTTACAGCCTATTTTTGATCGAGACTGATGACTTTTAGAAGCCCTATATATTAAACCTGGGAAACTTATTACCGTCCCCATTGTACCTTGTTTAACTCTTATTTACACCCTCGCTCTCACGTCGGGCATGTTTCTCATAAGTATGCAAATCGCAAAAGTGTCAGTATTGTAGGAGGCATAAGAAAAGAAATATTGAAGGGAACTGTAGCCCTATATCCATTTTTCAAAACTTTTAAATCTGTTTCGAACAACATTGTACACGCGCGAACGACAAATGTTTCTCATGAACGTAACCGAATCTCATTTTGGATTTTAGAAATTGAAGTCAGTCGAATTTTCACTGTTGCACCCAAATGTGATTATACTTCATAATTCAGAAAAATTAGTATTACAAATTGGTATCTTTCTCGACGTCAGAAAATCTTTAAACTGCCTCAATCATAATATCCCTCAAGGTAAATTATTTTCATGCGCTTTTTCAATTGTTTCCTTTTCCCTGTTGAAGCCCTATTTTCAAAATCTTCATCAATATGGTTATATAATCGGACACAAGCTCGACGTCAATTCCGGTGTTTTTCAGAGGGCTTTTTGGACCACCTTTTATTTCTTTTTTAGGTATACGAAATTGTAATTATTGGTTCTAGTGTCGAATCTATTGTTTATGCCTTCGATACCCGTATGATTATTTTTTTAAACGAACGGCGAACAACCTATCTGAACAAACAATTGTGTCCATTCAAAATAAAAAAAAAAAATTGGTGTGAAAAAAAAAATTATATGAATGCTGGCAAAATCATGAGTGTGTTATTATAATTCCCTGCCAGAGCTGAACTTAACCTATCCAATTTCTTAAATTATCGTTCTCGTGTTAGTAAATATTTTGATGATGTAAACATTTTTGGTCTGAAGTTTTATTTTTCTTATAACATGACTTTGAATTGGCATATTGCAGATACTTATAGTAAGTTTTCGAAAATAGTGTGCATAATAAGTACAGATAGAAACATTTTACCGAGAAGTATAAAACTCCAAATTTAGAAATCACTTTTTAATCCGAGCTTATGCCACGCGCGTGTAATGTGAGGATCAACTGGTTTAACTAATTTAAAAGTACTCAGTGTTACAGAAGAAAGCTCTTCAAACAGTTGGTACTGCTCCTTCGATATCCCCATTATTACATCTAATTCATAAGGATTCTATTACCAACGTATCAGAGAAGTACTCCCAACGATTATTCTCAACATACGTGTCTGCCATAAAAGGCTAATGCGAAAATTTTCTAAAGTTCGCTCATTTTTGTTTTCTCAATTTACTTAATCCAATTGTTCAGACGACCTCATGGCTTATTCCCCAATCACGTACTAACGAAAAATAGGTAAATATAAACTGCTTGAACTACTAAACTATCCTTCATCTCTAGAAATTAATGCCACCTAACTAATAAAAACTGCCATGCTTAACATTTTATAAAAGCGTGCATCGTTTTTATAATTGACGTGTTTTTGTTTAATTATTATTTTTTTAGTGCGATGTTGTCATTGCTTAAGCAATGACAACATGGCACTTCTGTATTACTGCATGACAATTGCCATGCAGTGGTACAGAGGGATCGTCAACCCACATACAAGCGGCTTTATGGTGAGTACCCGCATTGTTCATGATGTCAAAGAAACAGTGTTTTAATTCTTCAACTGGCGCAAGCACTTTGACATATCACCATGAAAGGAGGTAATTTTCCTTCTCGTTTCATTTCAAGTACATAACGTGGAAGAAATTGGCGTTTTTTTTAGCTTCCTAAATGTATTGCGTCGGATAGCCGTTGCCACTACATGTCCATTTGTAAGTGCTCGTGCCACACGCAAATTAAAAAAAAATAATAATTGTAATACAATTAATCGTCAGCAAAGCAATAATTGAACTGTTTTATTCATTTTTGTATCACATATTATCGACTTGATTCCTATACCAGCGTGTGTAATCTTGATTTAAACAAATTTATTCTTAAAAAGTCCATAAGAGGTAAAATAATACGGAATGTGCGCGTGAGTTATACGGTCAGGGGAAGGTAATATAGGGAGCTAACCCTTCCAATAAGTGAAATAAATAACCTCTAATTTGTTAAGCAACCTTCGCATTAGTTAATATAAGCTCCTAATTACAATTATAACTTTCTGAGCGTCATCTAAAGCCACTACATTAAACGAGTTTAGCAAGTACTGAAGCACGTGCTAAGCGCCGGGGTGCGTTAAAGTTGCCACTCATGCAACAGGCATGAGGCTGGCGATCTGCAAACGCGAATGATACTAGGGAGCTTTAGGAAACCGTTCTTGCGTATCCCATACGGTTAGGATGGGCGCCTCCAGTACGAACTGCGGATGCGTGAGTCTTTTGCGGTAGCGCATGCGCACTTCGTACCGGAGAGCCCACCGCACCTTATCGGATGTGCAAGAACGGTTCCCTAAAACTCTCATATTTTCATCTATGTTCTCCGGCCGCCCGTGTTGCATTTGTTGCGTCAGTGGAAGATGTGCTGCACACCCGCTCCTTCTTTATTTATTTTGTTTATTTATTAATACTGTCACCCCGTTTTTCAGGACGGTTACAGGGGTGGAAAGAAAATGACATACCAATACATTTCACAATGTATAAGAAAGCGTACAGTACAACCACGCGCATACAAGCACATAAGTTTGGACACGCTTTCTGAAGAATGTTTTGAAAGGTAACTACGAGACACACTCAGAGCACAAAACAGCTTCGCTTGTCCAGCGTTAGCTCGAAGACAACAATAGTATCTATATTTACTGTGTCGTCCGGTAGATCGTTGCATCGCTTAACAGTTCTAACAAAAAAACGAATACTCGAAAGTGTCATTATTTTCCCGTTGTATTTCAAGTGCCTTTTTATGCACACCCAGCAATAGCCGAGCCGAGCGTGGTAGGAAGTAACGGAGGGTGTAAAATGCTCAGCTCATTTCGAGATAGCTTAAAAGGGAGTTTAAGTCTGGCAGTTTCTGTGCGATTTGACAATAAAGGGACGTTTAGTTTTATGTGTATTGAAGCCACCGAGTCAGTTCGACCATACCTCGAAAGGATAAAACGGCGGGCTGCCATTCTTTGTATTTCTTTTCTAGCTTATCAATTCGGTTCTTCCTCTACGGATCCCACACAGCACAAGCGTTTTTTAGGGTTGGCCTTACCAGGGTTGGGTACGCGGATAATTTTACGTTATGCGGAGCGTGCCTTCGATTGCGCTTCAAGGAACACAACTTTATCATAGCCTTACGATGCAAAGGTGCTTCATTATTTTTAATTGATTAATTTAGAGGTTTTAAATGACCCTCAGCAAGTTTCTGATTGAAACAATATGCTTATTTTCACTAATTAAAAAAAATATAGGAATAAATCTTAGCTTTCATGTTTGTTTTACTTATCGTGACGATTGGCCTTCTATATTATGTCACCCTGGACGCTTAACTCACCGGCACAAAGCGGATTATTTTACCTTTTAAAAGCTCTTTTAAAATAAGAATGTTGAAATTAAAAATATACATACTCTATTTAGACAAACAGCTATCTAGAAAGCGTGTTACTTATTTGATACCGTTACTTTAAAAAGTGGGCTCGCAATATGCAAAGCGTACAATTCTTATATGTAGCTCTTAAGGGCCATGTTGGTGAAAATGTAATGAGCAACATTTAAGAGTTTTCTACGGGTATTATTTAAAACGAAGATACTATAATTACAAATTTAAGTAAGGACGCAAAAACTTTGAAATGTGTTAGTAACATGTTTCTTTTTTGGAGCATTGGCAAGGTAATGGTTAATTCAGTTTCATGCGCTCTAATGCTAAACTTACCTCGGTTTCAGTTTCAACGAACCCGGCGGCAAACTTGTACACGGACGGGCGTGGATCAGCTAAACTTTATCTTCTAGCGCAACGCTCGAGGGCCAATATCTTTCAAGCGCAGCAAACCTTTCAAAAGAACCGTCGTCGAACAGCTCGAACAAAAATGCGCGCGTTATTTTTTTTCTTTCCCCGCGAGTCAGGCGGCACCCGGGAAGCAGAGCGCACGGCGTCGAAACAGAGCGAAGAGGCGCGCCGCGATGCCGCAACCGAGAGATCACTTGCCTTCGAAGAAGAACGGGCCGCTTGGCTCGGTGCCCCGGGGGTTGCCTGGACTGCGAGAGAGTGAGAGGCGGCCTCGGAGCTGGAATGCCTCGGGTGACGACGTGCGGGGGCCTGCCGCCCGGGGCCCTTTTATTGGGCGAGTCCCGCGTGGCGTGAGGACGCCCCCACAGACCACGGCGGGTATCGCTCGCTCTGACGCAGAGCCACGGGGGTAAACAGTGGCCGAGAGGGCGCCGATAGACGAATCTCGCGGCCCATCGCTTCCAATGACAAACAAAACAAGGTCGATTCAGCGGTTTCGCCTATCTGCCCGATCGCGTCGCCGCGACCGAACCTAGTTCAGAGACGTTGCGGGCAGTACTCGAATTAAAGCCACCCCGTTGCCACCCCGCTTCAAGTCGAGCTGGGATGGACACAAAAACAATAACCGACACACGTCAAGGTGTACCACACACCATTGACACAATTGCGGAGATATGCGGACAATATCGCCAGTTATCGTCAATGGCAGTTATTTGGGGCAGGAACGCTATGTTGAGTGATGGACAGTAGCGGTCTAGATCCTTCTATACAATGGGACAGCGGTCATACATCCAGTAATAACATAGAAGTACAAAATCACTCATCTACATATTCTATCTCGGACAGTCAGATTTATTTACGGCGACATCAAAGCCGAGCAAGGGCTATATGATGACACCCTAAATAACAAAAATGTCGCCACAATTGAATTAAATTCCGAACTGGACTAGGACCTCAGCAGCACTAAAAATACAAAATGCATAAAGAAATGAGGCACTAGTTGAAAACAAAGTGTTAAGAGACGAACTAATTCTTTAATTTCTTCAAAAAGGTACAGTGCGCCTCAAACGTAACGCCCCCACGGCTTTCGCCGTCTCTGACAGTGCGTGCGGCGGCCGATTGAACTCTCTGAAGAATGTTTGGGTTTCCGATTTCTATCCCATCCTGAGAGGGCATCCCGAACATTTTGGTGACAAATTCAAAAGTAATTCGCCGACATCAGCTCAATGTTTTGGAACCTAGTGGCGGCGCTGAGTTTGAGGAGCACTGTACGTACTTTGTAGGCACAGTTATGCAGTGCATTCACTGAGAACAGGACGTAGCGACTCTAACTAATAGTTTATCCGACAACCTGGCACTACTAAACATCGGGTGCGATTCAACTTGCCGGATGAATGAATCAGCGTTCAGACATCACTAGAAAAAAAGATCGCCTCTTTCCTCCGCTATTGCGGCAAACGCGATGGTAACACGGAATGTGATGCAGTGTCACGCTATATGCGATCGCAGCGCCGCTTCTTCTGGCGCCGCGGTAACACCGGCACTACTCTGGGAGCGAGGCCTAACGGAACGGAGCAGCGTTTCCACGTGCTCGACCGGAGTCACGTGGCTTTAGGGACGCGTCTGCAATAGAAGCTGCGAAGAGGAGGAGAAAGCGTGGATCGTCTGCGGTTCAAGCTTTGTCCAGGCTCTCCGCCCCATGTCCCCCTTCACCACGCAACAACGCGACACATGCGCACTTTTGACCAGACTGCGCCCGTTGCCTCCGCCATTCAATTAGAATATCAAACATGGCGTAGAGGCGGTGGCAAATTTCGCGCGCCGCCAAGACGGCGTTTAGTTTTAGCTCATCGGTATGTTGCGCTGAGCCTCGGTCATTCGTTTTGCTTTAGCGCTTGCATGTGTCTTACTTTGTTCCGTCTACTACGAACGGGGTTGTATATCCCCCACGGGGGGTCGCTGTCCGCGGGCCTTGCCTCTTACCCGGGGCTCCAGACACACAAATCTACGCGGGCGTTCGGGGCAGGCACCGGAGTGCGGCTATCATCGGCTTGCGCGCCATTTCGTAAACTGGGCCGCGTCTCAAGCTCGAACGACTTCCTCGAAGACTTCGGGTCATGTTCCAGTGTTTCGTGACTTCGACTCGAGAGGCACCGGGTGCAACTGGTGTATACACGCCGGCGTGGACCCGGCATCGTGGGAATATCCACGAGACGGCTTCCCAGGCGCGCTTTCCGTTTACGCTGAGGCTCCTGCCCGCGCTCCGGGGTAAAGGACGTTTGCTGGCGGGGCAGGTTTCGACGATTCTCGCCTAAACCGAGAACCAGTAGATCTTCCTCGGAACATAAACATACCGGTGTTTAGACTCTCAACCGCAGGGCCCGATCGTAATGACCACCTCGGCAACAGCAACGAACTCTCTTGCGATAGGTCGAGAGTGCGTCGGGGCCTCGACCCAATGGGATGCAGACGAAGCCCTCATTGGACAGAGCGGTTTCCGGCGCACTGTCTTAAGCCCTGACCGAGCGTGTGAGCCTCGAGTTGGAACGGGCTTGCGAGCCCCTGGCTGTTCTCCTCCCGCGGTCCGCCGCGTTACCTGCCGCACGCGGCAGCCGTTGTTCGCCGGCTACTTAGCCATCGCCCTATTGTGCGCGGTAGGACACTTGACTTCGTGTCTCGCGATCGTAAGCCTGTGAGGCCAGTTATTCCCAGTTGTTTGATTGTATCGTGCACTCCGGAAAAGTTCAAGTAAAGTATTGTGTTTTAATCGAATACTAAGCGGTCTTGGTTGTCCCTGTCCCGAGTCCTCGCCGCCTACAGCCAGCTCTCCAGCAACCAGCATCGATCCACGGTCCCCCGGCCCTCGACGGTAGACACCTCCAGGGTTCCCACCGAGGTCCGGGACAACAACCTTACAACTACTCATGGTTTGAGTTGCTTCCTTCCCAGGGTTGGGCAGGAATACTCAAAAATGTATTTGGAAATACAAATACTGGGATACATTAAAATGGTAGCTAAAATACTGATACTAAGATACATCTGTAGAAAGGTATCGCGATACGTATCGGAAATACATAAAAAAAAAGCAAAAAGTATTTGGAAATCCAAATACAGGAATACATTTTAGGGAGGGCAGAAATACAAATACAGAAATACTGATAGTGCAATACATTTTCCAAATTTTGTTGAGACGCGAACTGAGATGAAGCTTGAAGTTTGAAGTGGATGTTTTCGATCCCGACATTACTTTCCTGTAGGCTTGGCACTTTGCCTTGTAGGTAGTGGTTTCGGACGAGAAGGAGTCTTCAATGGGCCAAAAAAACATTCCATCAAGGGCTGACCGCGGTCCCTTCCATGACATCCTGTCTGTCTGACGAGGGAATCCTGTCAACATTGATCACATGATGTCACGGTGGAATAAACTAGTATATTTTATCTGTAGGTGTGGCTTTGAACATGAAACCTTACCACGCTGCTGTATGAAAGGACAATACGTACTTTCGTTGTAGCTTACCTCACTGAAGATCGTGCATGCAGTGCCATTAGGAATTTTTGAGAATAGTGGACCACCTGAAGCATCTTGGAATACATGTCTTATCTTCTCTTACGGTTGAAAAAACGACACAGTAGTATCCCTGTTCTGAAGTTCCTTACTACCGACCCTCCGCCACCGACACACGGATTGCAGTCCTCAAGTTTTCCTAGCATTATCCAAACAGAGACCTCGTGGATTGCGAGCTGATATTGCCGGCACAGGTGCGAGCTGTCCGAGAAACCGCAGTCTCGAGACGAGTCGCGGGAGTACGTAGTATGGGATGGCACAGCGAGGCCACCTCTGGCCTCTTTCTGGGTTTCGGATCACCAGAGCAGCGGGTCACGTTCACGTCGGCTGATGACGTGCCCTTGAGCCATGCAATGTTACGGGCGCAGCCGCAGATGCATTCGAATATGTGTTGAACTTCACAGCGTGAGTCTTCCTACTATTTCAAGTCGACCCCCGCCAAACTGGTGCTGCAATGGAATGTGACTCAGCTTTGCCGGCTGGGTGTACTCTGTAAGCTAAGGCAAGAGAGACGGTTAACAGCGGGCATAAGATGCCAGCAAACAATGACTCAAGAAATCCCTACCTAAGGACCTGCGGCAGAAGATGCTCTGACTCCACACCTGGCACGCCACCTGGTTCGAGTCCCCGACTACGCAACACTTCTCAAAAGAGAGAAAAGGACGCATAGAAAAATAGTTTTGCAGAATCAGAAGGAACCAGAGCTGGCAGTAATGTAATTACTGTAATGAAATTACAGTAATTTAATTACTTGTTCCAGTAATTAGTAATGTAATTCATTACTTTTTGTAGCAGGTAATGTAGTAATGTAATGAATTACTCCAGCGACGGTAATTGTAATTAAATTACCTAATTACTTTTTCTCACCAGGCATATTTTTTGTGTCCACAATACACAAGAGCGCTTTTCTTTTTATTTTACTTTTTATTTTTCCTCTACACCTTTCCAAAAAACGCTCTTTGGCCGCCGCTATGTTGCTGATGTTAATGCGGCTGGTCCGACTCTCGCGCCCGCTATCAGCTAGACATTTTCTGCCACTCTCTTGAACTGTGAAAACCTGCTCAGCGCGATTTTCTACCTATGTTTTGCGGTTTTGCATTCGACGTTTTCTGGCCCCTCTTGAAAGTTGCCGCTTACTTTTTCTAATACATACTGCGTACCCTCTCTGTGTTATCGTCCACTGTGAGAAATAGGGCTGGTAAGTGCCTTCCATTCGAGCTTTTCTGCTCGACATTCTCGGGAAACGAAGGAGGGGAAGTAGGTCGAACCAAGGCCCCTGGTGGAACGGCCCTCGACGCGATTTTCCGAACAATGACAAGTGTTCTCCCCCTCCCAGAGATAATCCGCGTAGGGTCCTCAGTCATTTCCAAAAATAGTTGTCCGGGTTGGAGTGGGAAACGGATCAGTCGCGTGCGTTCCTCTGTCCATCGGGAAACATGCAACAGAGAGTTCTAGCTGTGTGCCATGAACTGTGTAAATAATGTAAATAAAGTTATCTGTAAAAGGAAGTTATCAATAGCTCCTTTATATTTAAAAGTATTGAAAAGTAATGCAAAAGTAATATCATTACTTTTAAAAGTAATTTGTAATGGTAATTAATTACTTTCTGGC